GCTTTGTGCCCCAAGCCCTGCTGCAGCTGTCCTGAAAGAGGCCCAACACCACGTGCATTTGATTGCTGGGTGGGCAGGGGACGAAGACCAGCCCAGGACAGGTTGCACGTGATGTCGAGCCGCTCCTGGGCCAGCTAAAGCAAGGCTTGGGGCAGAAAGCCTAGCCTGCAGTGGCAGCCGCTTCCACTGGGCACAGATGGCAGGGCTTATGCCCCCTGGGGCCTCCACGACGGTGTACACAGTGGCGGGAGTCCTGTTCTCCCCCGGATGAGTTGCCTGAGCCTGATCCTCTGACCACCCATCCGGCTGGGGCCCCCTTCACCAGCTTGTTCCTGCACTCTGGCCCCCACCTCTTCCCTTCCCCCACCGACCGACCTGCTGGGCTATGGGGGTGAGGCACGTGCATATGCAAGCATGCTCAGTCCTCCCAGCCCAGGATCGATTGCAAGAGGCTCTGGGATCCACCAGTTGATCCTGATCAACCAGTTGGTGACCACTGCTGTAAAGTTTGCATGTGATGCACACAGGACTGTATTTTGACTGGGCCACACATGAACAAAGCCTGGAAATACAGCAGTAAAACCATTCCATGGCTGCCCCTATTAAGCACAGTGTAGAGAGATATTGAGAGAAACTGATGATGGAGATGGTGGGGCACTGCTGCATTCCTGGGTTTGGTGCATGTGAGCAAGGACTAACCAGAAAGGATGCCCCCAACAGTGTCGACAGACCTTTGGTGGAAGTGAGAGCAGACCTCTCATGGAGAATACACACATTTTAATGATCAAGGAAATATATTTCTCAGTGACAGTAATGAGGAAATGCCCTCTGTGGGCCACCAAAGCATAACATGCTTTTTGGTACCAGAGTTTGTACTAGTGATACTCTAAATCTTAGTATCAATAATAGGTCTGGCTCTGCCCAGGTCCTTATCTCTTATAGCTGGAGTAGATACCAAGGTGAGAATTAACAGCGGATTTTATGCATCACAGTATACTCCTCTCCCTCCCTTGACACTGTGGGAAGGTGGAAGAATTCTCCCCAAGGCTTTACTGCACCTATCTCTATTAAAGTACACAGAGTGATGTTTTGACTTTCTTCCCAAGTGTCCTTACCCATGCTCAAGTTCAGCATCAAAGAACAGATGAATTTTGGTGCTGATGCCAGCACTAGGTTTCTCCTCAACCTTGGTGTCTCCAAGGTGGTCTTAAGTGCTCCCAATGTACTTTAGGAAGCACTAGATAATGTTGGGTTATCCATTAACAGGATTCCTGGATTGTCCTGGAAGATGGAACTTCAGTCTCATATTTTGTGAATCACAAGATATAGATAAAGGATAAGCATATCAAGCATCTGCTCTGAATGTGCAATTCCTCCAAACAGAATAGACATCTGTCTCTCCTTTAAGAGAACAGATCCATCCTGCGAGAGACCAGGCCTGAAGACTTCAAATCAACCACAATATCACAGAAGAATGCTGAGTGTGTGCACACAATGCATAGGTGGACCTGGATAGCATCACCAATAAATCCATTGGTGTAGGGTCTTGGCAATTAAAATCTTCTCACGTAAGTGGCTCTGACAATTTGCAGGTTTTGAATTTTAGCCTGAGCTAAAAAAATAGAGGATACTTCCATCTTGCTGTTTGGCGTGGTAAAAAGAAATTGAGGGAATGGCAGAGCAGGCAAGACTTTAAGCCATCATATGGAAGAACAAAGAGGAAAAGTTTTCATGAAGCCTTAAAATGGACTTTACTAGTCAAAATATATAGTATTACATGATTAAAGTACACATGTACCTACAATAAGATCCACACCAAGCACCCGAAACTGCAGCACTGGTTAAAATGAACTGTACAGGTATAATTATTCCCTTGCCTAAGGCACCAAGGCAGCACAAAGGCGCACATCAAATAAAGAAGTATTTTTTAAAAGCTATATTTTAGGCTTTTACAGCAGCATAGTCACTACTAAATTACTCCACCCCCTCTAGAATCTTGCCTCAAATTAGTGCCTACTGCCAAATGCTTCAGAAAAAGATCCCTAATTTGTGCAAGCTATAGTAGTAGGTTGGAAGTCTTTCCTGAAGAGAGTTGGTTCCTAAAAGCTGAAAATTAAACACCATTTTGGAACAAGCCTAATTTTACAAGTAACTGAATTCATGCATGTGTTAGACTTGACTTACCTCTAACTGGATATCCAGGCCCTCCACTGGGGTAGTGAGCGAGCTGAGGTTTGGCAGCACATGCTCACAGAAGTAAGTAACAAATCTTGTGGAATGAACATTTTTCTATAAAATTTAATGAAGACAATGAGATTACCACACAGCTCTGATCTACAGGGATTTTTCTACTTTAGCTGCCCGAGTAGAGATCTTCTGCCTACTCTATCTGGTTTTTATACTTAGTCGCTCCTCACTCCTTTCTACCTCCAAATTAAGAGCCTCTTCCAGTTAGCTAAAATTCAGTGCAAAGACAATGAATTTAAAATACTTCATGAGTACATTTTCTTCCAATCTATAATTGTTTCTTTTTATAGCAAATGGGCTTTAAAATGTTACAATTTGCTTTGCAGTGAACATTAATTAATGCTTAAATTTTGTCACAAGGTACTATCAGACACTCAGCCTCTTCCTACTACAGGAAGTGTTTTTTAATGATCTTAACCTTCACCAAGTGAAGCAGAGGGCAAGCAAAAGATCCAAACTCAGCTGTGTCAGCTGGGAATGGACAGTGCAAGGTCAGGGATAAGGTATCAGGCACAGCTTATAGAATACCTGAAAGATATGCACTATTTCTGTCTGCAGAGTAGTTTGGAATCTTGTAACAATCTCCAATTAATAAAAAGTATCCAAGGACTTTTATTAGAGGTTATCCCTGTTGCCTGCCCTGTGCCAGTGTTAAGATGCTATGAGAAATAGGCTAAAATTCAGGTGAAGTACCTCTCTGCAGAAGTGGTACTCTGTGTATCCATGGACAGGCAATTCATTCTACTGTTAATAATTTATGTGAATTTTTTAGCAGTAGAAAAAATGGCTCAGGAGTTTGAGTGTACATGCATTCCAACCCCGTGGCTAGAGAGCTACATAGCAGAGCTTTCTAGTCAGAGGGCACTAGAGGGCTGCTCCTTGGGTCACCCTTTCCCTTATGGGAACCCACTGATTGATAGTCTGCCCCCTTCTCCTGCCAGGGAAGGGGACAACAGAAAGCCACAGGCAATAGGCTGTCAACAGACAACCCTGGTAGACTGCACCAACCGAGTGATGAGGGAAGTAGCAGGGCTGGAGGGAAACAGACTTTGCCCCATTCACTGTGTTCAACCCTGAGGAGTGCAGGGAGCAGGAGGCAGCTGTCTCAGGCTGGAGCCCTCCCAGAGTCGAGGAAGGTTTCTGTTGCAGAAGAATGCATCTGACTTCCTGCCAATCAGCTGAATCTGGGGTGGGTGGAGGGCAGAAGGATTGTCCAAGGACAAGTCCCTACAGGGCTCCTTGATAGTGCTTGCTCCTGCACAGGCTTTCAGGGAGGCAGTGCTCTCCCTCCCTCCCTTCTCTTTGAATACTGGATGACCACAACATCCAGGAGTACCGGGAGGGATGACACCTTCTAGGTGAGAAATAATTTACCCTTCCTGCAGAAGAGCCAGTTATATTCCACAAGAATTCCCTTGAATGGCTGTATGCTCTTTTTGCTGGGAGAAAAGCTTTTCTCCAGGCACAAACATAAAGCCTGTCCATGAAAACTGTCTCAGCTATGTCATTTGGCCAGCCTTGTCTATGCCTTTAAGTATTGCCTTGAATGACTTTCCCTTGCAAGGCCAGCAAAAGGTGACAATGTTCTGCTGAACATGTTTCAGAAGCTGCTCAGGTCCTTCTGTGCTACAAATACCCCTAGATACCAATCTAGACTGTCAAGTCTCTTGGATGTAAGAACATATGAAAAAACAGGCAACAGTGATGGAAACCATCAACATTTGATGATTGTTCATTTTACGGATGGGAGTATTTGGAAAGATCAAGTAACTCAATGAAGTTCACAAAGGAAGGCACAGCAAAGCTATATACACAACTAAGTCCTAGTCTAGTGCATCAACTAGATTCACTAAAATGTTTAAAGTATTATTGTTTTTTCTGATTCCAAATAAAACATTTCTAAAAGACTACCTATGACATTTTAATGATGTCAGGACACTGACGGAAACTTTGTGATGACACAATCAACAGAAAAGAAAGCAATGCATACCGAGAAGAGTGGTACTGCTTGCCGAGTGCACTGCAAAAGTCTGTCCACACAATCTGGATCAGATGGATTAAATGTTTGCTCTAGGTCAGCCTGCTCAGCCACCAGTTCCACCAGTTGCTGCCTTCCACTTACTGTCTGTAAGCTTTTTAAGCCAGATAGTATCTTCATGAACAGAACAAATTCCTCACCAGTCACATCTTCCAGAACCTTAAGATAAAAACAAAAAACAGAACAAAGCTTTCCACTGGGGCCATTTGTAATACGCATTCCCTATTTCAGTTTAGCGGGCAAACAGTGTAACTATTGAAACATTCAGTTTCAGCTTCCTGCACAAAACACCCCCACTGATAAAGGCAGAGGGTGCAATACCGTCTGTATACTCTTTCTGGGTTAAAATAAATACAGGGTTTCAGTGTGACAAATGGCATTGAGACTAAGGGCTTATTTTACTTGACCAGTAATTTTTTTAATCAAGTATTCTTAACTTACTTACTGCATGGAACTTTTAAGCAAAATCTGGAAACATTACCATTGTAAAAAGTTGATTTAACAAAATCCACTTCAGAAACAAGTTGTGACACTCACTTTCTTTGATTCAGTTAATATGAACTCCTCTACTTCCTTTGTTAGCACTTCCTCAGGCAGGGTTTTGAGTTTTGTAGAAAGGAACTTGATGGCTCGTTCTCTCACAATATCCTCTCCCTGAAGAATCTGACTAAATAAGCCTCCCAATGTCCCTGAAACAGAAACACAGCTCAGTTAATGTAAACTATCCCACAATGTTGTATAAAACAAATTTTGTTTCATAAATTTTCTTTTCAGAGAAAAGCTCCTAAAAAAAAAAAATTCTAAAATTTATTTTAACATTACTATTTAAAAAAAAAAGTCAGCATACAGCTGTATAGCTATTATTTTGGAAAAGGATAATGCTTTCAATATGTTTGCCTAGAACATAACACTTTTTGGGTGCTATTGTGAAACAAAAGTGTAACAGATGTGTAGTTATATATGTACCAAAGAGCTTAAATGCATCTTCAACATGAAAGAGCAAGATGTGACATCTACTGCCCTACAGCAGATCCAAGTTAAATTCACGTACCTACCAGGGATTGGAAGGCACTTGGATTTTCAGGGCTGAAAGTGACATGTACATGCATCTGTAGGCACCCCAGTTAAAACAATAAACATGTTATTTTGTCCTTTACCTTTAGCATCCATCTTAAATATACTCAGCAGAGCATTGTTCACCAAGTTGAATTCTGCAGAATCATCTGGGGGGAGAAAAAAATACAGTCATGCCCATCTCTGAAGAGCTCAAATGCAGAAAGGAACGAACAACTAAAAGGAAAACACTTTAGTTTCAAGAGGAGCATTTTGTTTTATACTTAATAAAAACAAACAAACAAACAACAAATCATTACTGGCATTAAATCTTTAAATTGTGTATTTGCCAAACAAACAGAAAACTGTCATGATAGTCAAAAACAAAATAAAGCTTTAAAATCAATAAACTTTTAAAAAAAGGAAATATTTAATATTTCACTTTAAGTGACTAAACCAATAATAACCAAAGTAAAAACAACTGATAAATCAATGTAAAACCAATTACAGATTTATTTTAGAACTTTGAAATCTTCCACTCTCAGACATGAAGGGCATTTTGTGCCTGAAAGCTTGTCTAAATCTCCTCCAACTATACAGTTGGTTCAATAAAAGGTCTTGTTAAAGAAGCCTTACTGCTTGCTTATTTTCTAGACCATCACGGCAACAACACTCCATTTTATACTACATTCATTTTAATTTGTATCAAAAGAGAATTTTATTAAAATCATTATTAAAATAGAAGTATTTTTGAGATGCATTTCTAATTTACTGTGCATTTAAACATTAATTCAGAGTATTCAGTAAACAATCAGCACAACAGTACATATAAAACTGAATTAAGTTTAATATTTTAAATTATTGTGTACTGACAATTTTGCAAATGCCTTCAGGATTAATGAAATAATAATTAAAGGTCATGCTCAGGAACACTTGATTTTCGAGGGACTCTGGACACTAGTATGTGAAACTTCATTGTCTCCTGATGTGGGGGGAAGAAAAAAAAAAAAAACCACAACAAAAAATGCTTCCAGTCAAGATAGGCAAAAAATACCTAAAGAACCATAAATCATTTTGCATTAAGTTAGGACAGTTGGCCTCTTCCTAGCCAAAGCAGGGGTTAGCATATTCTGCCAATATGACAAGCAAATATTGGGAGAAAAGAATTAGAGCAAAAGTAGGACAGAAAGGCAACGGTGGCTAATTGTTCTGAAAACTGAACAGCTTAGTTAAAAAATAACTGCTTTATAACTAGCCACAATATACATGCTCTCTCAGAAGTGCAGGCTAAAAAGAAACAGACAGGTAAATTACTATATAGTGTACCTGACTGAAGAAGTTGGGTCAGTATGTCTGCTACCCTTGGAAGATTATCTCCAGTGGCAAACTGAGGCAGTTCCTTTATTGCTTGGCGTCGGATCTGTCAAAAAGAAATACTGTCACCATCTGAAGAAAGCAGGCAAAATGTTCTCATGCTATTACAGCAGATTCAGGTTGTGACTCTAAGTGCAGAAGAAAAAACAAAGTAGCAGCTCCTCAGAAGGAAAACATTCATATTTAATTATTTTGTGCTTCTAGATCCATATCCTAAAAACTTTGCCCCAATTTTTAGTTAGACAACTGGAGCCAGAACTGCTTAAGACTTCTGAGGGTCAGTACCTTAATTTCTTGGGGCTTCATGTTTCCCATGTGTAAATAAAAACACTATTTCTTTACCTCCCAAATGTTAGGCTTCACGCCCATAAAGTGCTTTGTCATAAAAAATATATTATGTATGTGCAATAAATATTTACTTTGGTCTCTGGCTAGAGAACCTCCCCTTTTATTAAAAAGAATGAGCAAAAAGACAATGAGGAAGATTTATGTGGTGAGAGAAGAGGACAAATGAAATGAACAAGCTTCAGGTTTGATGCTAACATAAGCATTTTCAGTGTTGCAAGTGACATTTATCTGCCTAGTTATAGGCATCTATATCATACAAAGTGACCAGAACCACTTGGATTAAATAAAAAAAGCACTTAAGTGAATCTGATTACATTATATAACAGAAAGGAGTTTTGAAATATCTAAATATTAAAAAAAGCATTTTTGAAAGAAAATTTATATACATAAAGGGCTATTAAGAAAACAGAGCATCAATGACTTGTAGCAACTTGCTACAAACTGTCTACCGCTTGTCCTTACAGAAACATCTTCATCCTCACAGAGGTCCAGCTGGGCATTGATAGCTGAATCTGCCAGCTCAGGGAAATGCTTGAAGAATTTAGGAATAAACTGAGCTGCTAGTCGCTTCTCCTTGGCTCCTCCCTTCACACCATCCAAGATCACTTGGTAAGCATCTTTATGCTGGAAGAGAAGACAGCAGAGAGCATGTTGGGTTTTTTCTCTGGTACAAAAAAAGAAGACATTTTACCTTCAGCTGCTTTCTATCCATCAATAGAGCAGCATCCTATTTGTAAAAAAATATTAATAATCTAGTTAGTCATCAGCAACAAAATACTATAAACTATTGACTATTAAAGAAAAAGCAACATTCAAAACTTTGTTTTGCATTTTGGACAATGATGACTGACATTAAAGCATCCTAATTCTATTGACTTGGGTAAAAGAATATTATAACCAACATGAGCAATAAATCACCTTCAACTGAATAATGCTAACCACTTATTTTACAACTGAATCCCACAGACACATCTACATGAACAGACCCTGACACACATGCGATGCACCAGGTTGACAGGGTTGCGTATTATTGCAAGACCAGGATTAACATCAAGGAAGTTGCGGAGGGAAGCGAGGACAGAATTTGTACCGACAAGGTGAAATGAAAACCAAACTAACTGGTTTCTCTCAGAAATTTGACATTCAGTTGCTGATCCTCTCTCGCCCAGGTGTCGCTTTAAGCATATTCATTTAAAAAGTCAAATTCTACTCCCACGTTCATCCTCAGCTCCCTAAGAACAGCTGCCAACTGGAGCTAGGTGAAGGCTCCCTCCGATTCCTAATTCACCACCTGAGAAGAGTATTTCTAAGATGCATACTCCTTATTCACCACCTGAGAAGAGTATTTCTAAGATGCATACTCCTTGCTTGAACGTTATGCGATCCCCATGCACTTTAAAATAAATTGCTTTGGAGGCCTTCTCACTCACTAGTAACCCCCCCCCCCCGGACGCTTCTTGCACCCTGTCAGCTTGGACCAGCATCGTTTTTGCTCCTATGTTAACTTGGATCAGTGGCTCTCGACCTTCTGAGACCACCTGAAAGCGCCACCTCTTGGTTTTCGCTCTTGTGCGGCTTACGGGGAAAATAACTGACCGGCTGTTCCCTCTGGGGCAACGACCTGGGACAGACCCCTGACACAAAGCCCCTGGGGGCCACTTCGGCGCCCACCCCCCGGGGGTTTCTCGGGCTGGTGGCGCGGGAGCTGAGCCCCGGCCCGGGCTCTGCGGGAGGCCTCCGCCAGCTGGCTCCGTCCCCGGGCCCCGACGCCTGGAAGGAGCTGCGCGGGGAGGCCCCCCCGGCCCGACAAAGGCCGCCCTACGGGGCAGGGCAGGACCGCTAAGGCCGGGGCCGCAACGGAGAGCGTGGCCTGCGGGCCGCGGCCGGGCCCCACCTGGCCGGCGGTCTCGGTGGCGTCGGCGAGGATCCCATAGTTGCGGTAGAGCTCCTCCACGGTGGGCATGGTGCGGGGAGGGCGGCGCCGGGAGCCTGGAACGGGACCCAGGCCGCTGCCGCTGCTCGGGCCTCTGTTCGCACTACGCCGTCGAGCAGGCAGAGAGCGTCCGCGCCGCCACAGCGCTCCCTGCCGGCGCGGCGGCCTCCTCCGCTCTGCCCTGCAACCGCGGGGAAGCGATGGCCGTTCTGCCAAATGGCGCATGCGCGGGAGAGGAGGGAACCCGGCGTGGCTGTCTTCTCCCACTACCTCCGCCGCTGCAGGGAAGGTAAAGGCGTGTTTTTCCTCCTTTCACCCGCCACGGCGGGGAGGATCAGTTTGACAGCGAATGCACAAGAGTGTCTCCCTCCTTTTTTTTTTCTTTTTTGTTTTTGGGGGAATTTTTGTTTTGGGAAAGATGTTTGTTTTTGGGGGGGGGGGGGGTTT